AGAATTAAATTTAGTGAGTGCGCGAGCATGTTTTCGACACCGCCATCTTTGGCGATTTTTCTTTTTTTTTTGGCATAGCTAAATGCCCTGAAAATTTACAGATGTGTACTTCACATAATACAAAACCCACTAAAAAAGTTTCAAGAAAATAATAAAATTGTTTAGACCCCGAACTAAAGTGAAAACAAAAAGTAAAAAGTGAAAAAATACGTGGCGAGCACGTTTTGACATCGCCATCTTTGGCGGCTTTTAATTCTTATTTGGATTAGCCAAATGACTTGAAAATTTACAGGCATGTACCTCACGTCATAGAGAACTCACAAAAAACAATTCAGAAAAAAATAATTATTTTTAGGCCCTGAAATAATTTTTGGCGGGGGCCGAACGCTGTCGGGTTTGGACCCCGTACGGGACCCCGAACGCCTGTACGTACAGAGGTCTGCCCGGGGACCTCCGTACGTACGGGCTGGTGATCCTGCATAGAACAAAATTTTAGGAGAAGAGAAATTTGCTCAACGAAATTTTCAAAAATAAAGGCTTGAGGAGGTAATAAATTTCAAAAAAATAGATTCTCATTTAGATTTAAATTTATTTACAAGAAAATGTGGAATTTCAAAAGAAAATATTTTTGAATTACGAAAAAAAAAAAGGTTTTCGTTGCAATTTTGGAAGAAATAATTCGAAAAGAAGTTCGAAATAGGAATTAATTCAAATGAATTTAAATTTCAGAAACGGACTAATTAATTAAAGGAATTTCAAGAAAATTTTGGAAGGAATTAGGAGTATATATAAAAGAGATTAATGCTAGAGGATTCAAGGAATTTCAAAGAGGAAAAGGAAATTCCGATTCATTAATATCAAAATATTTCAAAGAAATTGCAAAATAATTTCATAAAAATTTAATTATTTTCAAGGTTCAAAAATAATATTTCAGAAGAAATTTTGAAATTGCAGAAAAGGGTGATTATTTCCGAATTAATTTCGAGAATTTATTCGAAAATAGTTGAAGCAATGAAAACAAAAGCAAATTCAAATTTTCGGAAAAGGATTAATAAAAACGTAATCGAATTGCAAAAAGGAGTTTCGAAGAAATTTGGAAAGAAATAAAAAGTATTCCAAAAACTTAAAAAAGAGATGAATTATTTAAAGAAATTGTGAAAAAGAAATTCGGAAATAATGAGCTTTCGAAGTATTAACTACTTAGTTTCAACGTATTTCAAAAGAAATTACGAAGGGACTGATCGCAGATTGTTACAAAAGTATTTTGAAAAGATTTTAGGGATTAAAGTAATTAAGAAATTAACTAATATTTGATTGATGATAAACTAAGTGGGTGGACAGGGAGAATGGGGCGCAGCGGGCGAAGAAGGTTCGCGCGGTGGGGA